CCAGGCTGGGAGATCTGGAGAATGCCTGGTCCTGAGCCAAGACCGCCCCCTCCACCATGCTCCAGGTGGGCCCTCATGCCCAGGGAAGCCAGCTCGGCTGAGCATCAGCAGCATGGTGGAAAGGAAGCACATTTGTTAAATCCCACTGTCATGCTGATCTCAATAAAAGATGGAGATGGTACTTCCTTGCACACGCAAGCACCCCTGTCTCCACGGGGTGGGACATTAAGCTCATTGCAGGATTTGTGCGTTGCATCTGAGTAATGAGCCATGAAACTGACATTATAGGTTTAATTATTATTAATGCCTTGCAGGGGTGGCTGGTGTTAATTATCCTGTAGGCATCCCAGATGTATTTCCCCTTTTCCTTTTATTCCTTTTTCTTTAATGTCGTTAGCCCATGTAATGGCAGCTTAGTGGCAGTGTTTGAATTCAGCGCCTCCGAAGGGGAGCATATACAGTGTGAGAGAGATTGTAAGGGCATCTGGACGGAAAGGAAATGGCTGCAGAAAAACCTGCTCAGCTTCCTTGGGCTAGGCTAGGCTGGGCTGGGGAAGGCTGGAATTTCAGAGGTCCTTTGGTTGCTGTGTGAAATTTGCAGAAGTCTTCCCCCCCGGCCCCCCATAATAGCATTTGCCTGCCTCTGGGCCCTAGTCATGGACTAATTAGTTAATCTTATAAAGGGCTTTGAAGATGAAAGATGCTGTGGAGGTGCTGAGAGTCACCATTTCTGAGCGATTCCTAACAGCTAGATCCGTGTTCTGACTGCTTCTGCCCCCTGGATAAACTGCCTCTCGGTGTCGTCCCTGGCTTTGATTTTTGCCCTCCAAATGTGTTCTCCATCTAAAAAAGGTTTATTGCTCCTCTCACTTTTGCTCTATCAGATGCTGATCTTGGTTGGCATTCTCGGCAGAGGAAGCGAGGATCGGTGAGGTGGGATGTCTCCCTTTCCCTTCCTGTCTCCTCTGCCTTCCCCTTGCCCACGGAGGGGGGCTGAAGAGTGTGGCTGTCTAACCAGACATGGCTGGAATCAGCGAGGTTGCTTACTTTTAGCCCTGCCCTCTGACGTCAGGGCCAGGGGGTAGTTGACCCTGTCTCATCTGCCAAGGAGCCATGGAGAGGGCCGTGTGCAGTCTTCTCCTGTCCCTGCTTCTGCTGTTTCTGAAGGAGGTTGGCCCACTCCTCCCCTGGTTCACATGCTAGACAGAACACCTGCTCTTTTGCCCCCCTGTGCAGAGCTGGGACTGGCACCCTTTTCCTGGGTCTCTGTAGGACATGCTGGTTTGTAGGGTTGCTATTTCAGATCTGTCTGTCACTTCTGACTTTCCTCACTCCCCCACCCTCCTGTCCTACCTCAGGACTAACCTGAGTGCATTTGAATTAACAAGCATATATAGGGCACCTACAGTGTGCTGGGAACGCTCCTTTGTCCCGGAGTTGTCAGACAAATACAGCACAGTCCCGTTCTGGGGCCTTGGTTGAATAGGGTTGATACAGTCAGGGAGTGATGGACGAGAGGCTCCCAGGATCAGGAGAGCACAGTCTGAGGTGCTGCCAGGTTTGGAAGGGAGAGAAAGGGGACAGAGGGGGGTAGCAAAGACCCAGCAATTTCCGAAGCACGTGTTCTTTGTAGGTGAGGGTGCTGCCCAGTCTGGCTGGGTGCGAGCAGTGGGGAGGAGAGCAGAGGACTGTGGCCGGAAGCTGTGCCTCGGCCAGTGTGGAGAGCCTTGGGTGCCATGCTTCCCCTCCAGTAGGTATATAGGTAAGCAGCAGGATGGCGAGATCAGCTCTGTCTTTGGATTTCCAGCAGTATACTGGGGACCCACTGGTGGACATATGCAATGGTTTAGGTGGGAGAAATGAAAGGCAGGGCAAGTGGGGGTGGAAGCATGTACAGGGTTCCTTGGCGAGAGCTTAGAAGTGGAACAATAGGGTTTGAGGATGAACCTGAAGCTGAAGGAAAAAGCAAGCTCAAGAGGAGCAGACAGTACTTTCTTAGTGTTGGGTGGAGATTTTATGGCCAGGAAAAGGAATGCAGGGGTGGGGGCCCAACAGACAGATGATGGCTTCAGTGAGCTGTGGCATGTCCAGGCAGATAGACTGACATAAGTCCACCATTCAGAAGGGAAGTTGGAAGCACAGAGAATTCAGTCGCCGCATACAGGCAGGCAGAGACAGGGGTGCTGAAAGTGTCCCTGCTGACCAGGGAGGCCTGGGCGCCACAGCGCTTAGGCAGGTGGGTCATGCCCATTCTGGAGAATCAGTGAAAGACAGAATCCCACAAACGTCAGGCATGTGTGCCTTCCAGGAATGAGGAGGGCATACCCACTGGGAGCACCAGCCTGCCGCCAGGCCACCTGCATGAGTCGTGCCGGCGTCTCTCTTCACTACGCCCAGGTCCTTCTCCACCACACCAGGCAGGTCGGGCCAGGAATGCACAACGCTACCCACTGGGAGCACCAGCCTGCCGCCAGGCCACCGTGTGAGTCGTGCCGGCGTGTCTCTTCACTACGCCCAGGTCCTTCCCCGCCACACCAGGCAGGTCGGGCCAGGAATGCACAACGTACGTGTTATGTGCTGCTGAGAGTATCCTCTCTGCCAACAGAGCTAGTAAAGCTGGTGGTGGGCATGCCACGGTAGAGATGCCGGTGTCCCTTCCACATGGGATGACGGTGCGGTGCATGTGTTCAAATGGCATGAAAGTGCAAGAGGGAGACAGAGCATCGAAACAAAAGAGCACGTCCCGTCCTCCTTGCTCTCTGTTATTGTCAATAGTGGCAAATATGACCAAACAGCCTGAGAATCGATGGCTTTTAGAATATTGCGTTTGAGCATAGGACCAAAGGAAATGGAGTCTGTACGTGACAAAGTGACGCTTGTTTTGGTGCATCTAGTTGAGGGCAGTTTTCAAGGTGAACAGCAAGCTCTTCTAACCCTTTGATACAACTTACCTCTTTGGGGATCTCAATTTCTCCATGTGGTCACTCGTGAAAATATTTTCATTACAGAAATAAATTTTATATTTAATTTTTAAAGTTGTGATAGACTAAGCTCAAACAGAACAAGAAAGCTGTTTTGTCTTTTTGTAAGCTTAAGCTAACAGTCTGAAGCGGGCTTTCTCGGCCTCAGCACTGTTGACATTCTGGGCCGGGTAAGTCTTTGTTGTGGGCAGCTGTTCTGTGCAAGGAGATGTGTAGAAGTATCCTTGGTCTCTACGCATCAGATGCCAATAACATCCCACCTCCGAGCTGTGACACCAGCCATGTCTTCAGACATTGCCAAATGTCCCCGGGGGATAAAATTATCCCTGATTTGGAACTCTTGGGTTAGGGGCTGACTGGCCCTTGTGTGGCAGTGGAATTCTTCTGGTGGCCCATAGCCAACAGCCTCTTCTGTTCTTTTCCGATCATAGTACTTGGATTGTAAATTACCCCTTTGCCTCAGCTGTCTAAAATTGGGGCCCATTACAGTCTATTGTGCTTACAGTACAAAGCTAGCCACAGTGAGTGTTATTAGAAGCAAACTGATTTTTTTTTCCCCCTCATTGAGTTCTGCAAACCCTCTGGTGTTACTATTTAATTGGTTAGTGGTGGCTGTTTGTCAGTTTGCCAGCAGGTTCTCTCTTAACTGCTGTCGCTTGACATTGCTGAAACGTAAATGCAGAGTGGCTGAGTTGCCAACATGCTATTAAGTCCTCTACAAAGACCTTTTCCATGTACTCCTGCTTCATGCTTTTCTGTCTGTATTGACCGATTCAAAGACTAAAGAAATCCTTGGCATAATAGACAGCCTGGTGAGAAAATGCGGCTTCTGTTAGGAAAATCGTTGGGTGCTGATGCAGGGAGATTGGTAAGATTTTTGTTTGATTTTCCTTGGGCAAATCTTACTCAGTTGAGAGGGTGTTGGCCACCCGTAAAGAAGACAAAGAGAAACCCAAGCAGCCACTGGTCTTTATGAAATAGGTCCAGTTAAATTGGAGGAGCCCAGGAAGTGGATGATGACATCGAGTTTTAGTGTAGTTCAACAGACTCCTTATTGCTAAAGAGCAGAAGATTGCCAAAAATTCTGTTTGGGTTTCCATTTGAGACTAAAGATGGCAGATCACTTTTGGAAGGGTTAGCTAACCCGTGACATTAAGAGATTACACTGTTTTACACTCTTGAAATTGTACTTCTGAACCAGACTGCCGTAGGCATCAAAAAGCTATGAGTTGTGGTCGTCGGGGGTGGGCAGCCTATGACAGCCCAGGACCACTTGTTAGACATTCCATTGTATTGGGGACCAACATCCTAGGGGTGGCCTCCACCTTCCACAGCCAGGCTGTCCCTTGGGGCTGGACATCGTAGGCGTCTGCCACTGGTTGCGAGGCCACAAGTGGGAGGGGCACAGCACAGTCCGTGAGAGTCTGTTGCTTCAACTTGAAAACTCACTTGAGGCATGTTCTGAGTTGTTGTGGAGGTTCAGAGATGAAGTAATGAAAATTTTGTTGGATGATAATTGTTGGAAATCTGGCAGATAAAAATAGCATCCAAGGGAGAACAATTCAGCACAAACTTGTGGGTGAGAACATTCTGGAGCCGGAGCACCTAGAGGGGGATTCTGCCCTACCCTTATAGGTGTGGGGCTTTGGCCCGGTTCCCTTCTCTCTCTGTGTGCCTCAGTTTCCTCACTTGTAATTGAAAATGATTTAACTCCTGCTTCAGAGTCGTTTTTAGCACAGAGTGAGTAGTGCACACACAAGGCCTAGGACAATACCTGGCCCCTCCCTCATATGTGCTATTTGAGAGGGAATTACCATCATGGAGGCCTTCTTGTAGATCCTCTCGTCTAAGCAGGACCTTGGCCTCGCGTGTCTCTGTGACAGGGTGTTTGTTCCTTTGAGATTCTTCCTATTCGAGGGCATTCTGCACATGCCCTGAGGACATAGGCACCCCTTACTTCAGGCCCTCCGAGCAGCAGGAAGACTGCGCTGAGTAACCGATATTGTGTTTTGCTTTCAGAATCCTTCCCAGCTTCCCTACGGCAAAGCCCTCTACAGTTACGAAGGGAAAGAACCTGGTGACCTCAAGTTCAACAAGGGTGACGTCATCATCCTGCGACGCAGGGTGGACGAGCACTGGTTCCACGGGGAGCTGCATGGTGCACATGGCTTCCTGCCCGCCAGCTATGTGCAGTGCCTCCGGCCCCTGCCGCCTGCCCCGCCCCAGGGCAAAGCCCTGTATGATTTCGAGATGAAGGACCAAGACCAAGACAAGGACTGTCTGACCTTCACCAAGGTAAGGTGGCCTCTGTGAGCATGGTCTCATGCAGCAATTCCCAGCCAGGAGCCCAGGCACCTTCCGACTGGTTTGAATCCTGCTCCTCCGGGAGATCTGCCCTCCCCGCTGGGCCTCCCAGTGAGAAGGTAATGGTTCCTACCTCCGGATGAGGTTTTGTTGGCTGGACTGAGATGCACACAGCCTGACACATAGTTGCACCCAGGAGCTGGTGGAGAGCTCTTGGAGCCAGACCCTCTGTCACCTGGGTCATGGTGTCTAAGTGGTGACGCAGATACAAAGGAATGAGTCTTTCCAGGACTCACAGGCCCTGAGAGAGGGACTCATCAGGAGAAAGTGCTACACAGATCTCCTTCAGGTCACAGGGAAGTGGTGGTTAGGCCCAGAAACCAGCATGTTACCGCCCTGTCTTCTAGAGCACCAGAGAGAGGGCGGACAGCTGTGCTTAGGGCCACTTAAAGTGGTTAGGTCAGTCCTGCAGAGAGGGACCCCGGAGGGAGACAGACTAAACAGTATGTGCCAGTGGAGTTGTCCTAGAGAGCAAGTGAAAGGTGGAGGGGCCTCGGAGGTCGTAAGACATCAGCAAACAGAGGTGATGGCCCTCTGGACAGTCCCTTCCCCACCATGACAAGTGTGCCCCATTTGCATCGGCCGGCCTCCTTCCTTCCTCGTTTTTACACTCACACACTCCTCTGTGCTGCGAGGGGAGGGGCGGCCTGTCGTACCTGAAGCATCTGCTTCTACCTGTTGGCAGTGAAGCAGCTCCCATGGATTACTTATCTGTACTGAGGCCTCTGGAGACAGCTCCACTTTATCTTCACAACTGCCAGGGTTCCCAGGGAAGCAGTCAGACTGGTTGATGTAAGAAACATCCTAGCCTATAGAGAATTTTTATAAGAGTTTCTTTGAGCCAAACCAAGGAGATATGCTGGGAGCAAGAGCTCCGCTGCTCTGCAGCTTCTTTTATGCATTTGAAACTAAGGAGGGGATGTGAGGAAGAGTGGAGAGAGCAAGGCAAGGGTGGGATTACAGGCTAGTTAACAAGATTACGTGCTCCCTTAAGGGTGGTTATGCCTCTGAGGGGCATTACTCTGGCATTTCCAAGGTGTATTAACCCTGACACCAGAGCATTGGGCAGGGCCGGCTTAAAACCTTTCACTAAAGAAGCTACAGGCCTGGAACATGACTGCCCACAGTGACCTGCCCGGTTAGGAATTTATGATCGGAGGCTGCTTTCTATAAAACCCCGTTTTTCATCCACATAACTCAAATCTCTGACGTTAAAGCCACATTCTTCCCACTTCTGAGAGGACTTCGGTGTTTGTTGTCTCCCCAACCCCCAATTCCCAACCACCTGCTCCGTGCACAACTTGGCTGTGGCCCTGAGCTCTCTGGAGGGTTGCTGGAGTACCGTGCACTCCACTTTTGAGCAAAATTGGCATGTCCTGTGCACAGCTGCTATTTATGTCCTGTTCCATTGTTCAGCCTGACAGTGAATAATCTATTTTTCATTCAGGGACTCAACTCTGTCTTCCTTCCTTTTATCAAGGTGTTCTGATGCTAATTCCAATTGCTATCTGACTGATACAGCCTCCCAGGAAGCCAGCATCCTGGCTTCTCTTTGTCTCCCCCTCTCCTCCCACCCCTAGCTCTTCCTTTCCCCCTCTCCAGTCTGCATTTCTCTCTCAGTCTGAGGCTAGAGTGGCAGGCTGCCCAGAGCGGCAGGCAAACGAACCCCTGCTTTACTCACTTCTCTGCCCAAAGGACTCTCGAGAACCTGCCCTAAGAAAGGAACCCTCTGGGTGCTTGTGATGCTCTGTGCCATCACTTATGACCAAGAGAAGGGATCCCAACAACCTCTCAGGGTCTGGGCAGGCCCTCGCTAAGGAAACAGACCTTTAGTGTCCAGGCTCCTCCAAGCTCACTCAGCTGGCTTCAGGGCGTTCCTCACAGGATTTCATCAGAGAAGGCTCTCGGAGCCAGGAGAGCTCACTGTGAACTGACAGCTGGGGGGATGCAGACAGACTCGCTGCTCTCCTGGGCCTGAAGTCTAGTGGGAGAGACAGGCAGAGACAGGCAATAGCAAGTCAAGGAATAAGTGTGCAGAAGACAGTTTCAGGGACTAACGAGCTGCCTTGGCCACCCAGGAGGCAGACCTGGTTTTTAGTAAGTGCTCCAAAATATTCATTGATAGAATTTAATATTTGATACTTCAAAAGAAACATTGAAGTAGTCCACATAGGAAAAACTAGAACTCTGTTAGGCTTCCTTAGACTCATTCTGTGGTTGGTATTGTTTTTACTTTGAATTATGTTGGGGGGTGGGGTTCTCATGACTGCGTATCTTGCACTGGTCCCAGCCTATCAATAGCCAGTGTTGTGACTGGACCAGCCCGTGGTTCTTACTATGGTTGCAAAATGCATCAGGCAAGATACAAGTTCATTCATTATTTTCAAGAAATTACATTCAGTGAGGTCACGAGTGAAGAGAGAGCATGGGCCTGGGGTTCTGCTTTTATTGGGGTCGAAGTTGGGAGCCTAGGATATCGAGGGCTCACTCTTGAAAGGTGAACTTAAAACATAAGAGCAGGAATTCAAATCATGAGAGGAGGACAAAACAAGTAGCCCAAATGGTCAGTTATGGAAATTAACCAAGATCTCTAAAACGAGAGAGCCTGGGTGGGGAGAGACAGCCTGTTCTTTACCTAGTCCTGAGGCTGTCAGTGTGTTTACTCATGAGATCGCTGTCTTTGAGGTGGATACCTGTGCATTCAAAGCGGAAGTCAGGCACTTGCATTATAAAAAGAAAACAAAAACAAAGTCAGGGCTCACACTATACCTTCCTTGGGCTGTGGATGAGCATCATTGTTGAGGCGGAATGTGGTTATAAGATCTCTCTAGGGAGATGGCATTTGAGTTGAGATTGAGGGGCAAAAGCACCAGCCATGAGAGGGTCTGGGGGGTCTCCTGTTACAGAATGTGGTAGCTATTTCCACAAGAAGCTATGTGGGCAGTGCTACATCTTAAGATGTCTTTGAAGGACTTTCTTTTCTTGAATTCTGTGGATCAATATGGACAGTTAGAGACCTCTGGGCATGATTCCCAATGAAAATCTTGCTCTGACACCCCCACCATGTTCACATAACCTTGTTACCAACACCCACGTCCACCTTCCTACCTGGGATAGGGCCCAGCACACCTACTCAGCTGCACCTGTTCTAGCTGCATCTCTTACCTCCACACATCTCCAAACAGCCTCCAGAGGACATAGCTGACGCATCGTGACTCTTCTGCTCGGTTTCTGATTCTTGTTCCTTGTACTGCTGGCTTGATGTTTTCCTTCCAAGGGCATCTGAGCCAGTTCATTGCCCTCATTCCTGGAATGCCTGTTCTGTCTAACTTGTTGATGTCACACCTCGGGTGACCAAGTGGTTCTCGTGCTCTGGCATTGCTGGGTCAAGCCAGCTCGGTTTTGCCTCTGGGGAACATCTTGTTGTTTGATAGGCTCCATTCTGGAGTCAGCAAGGAAAATGAGGTCTCCAAAATCCATGAATGATGCTCACCCCTCCACTGAAAAACATCACTGTGGTAGGATTGATTGGATTTTAAGTCATGGAGCAGGTGGATTAAAGCAAAATTTTTACCTTCAGCATTGGATTTTGAACAGTCCTGTTAAAATTGCATTAATTACAGTCATTCTGAAACCAGTCTTTGTTACTTTTAAGAAGGGAATGAATAATTACTTTTTGTAAAGCAGCTATAAAAAGCATATTTTATAACTTCTGAGTAGTCCTACTCCCAGAAGCTGAGCATGTGCATATAAAAAGACTAAAGAAAAGAAGTACATTGTCCCCAAGCTCTGTCAGCTGGTATTTTAGAAGCTCTCACGTGAGGCCTTGATGTGTGCCGCCCTCCATGTGTTTGGGGAGGGGTTAGGTTTGGTGGAGAGGCGCCTTGGTGCAGGGGCTTTACAGGTAGGGATCCCATGTGTGACCTTAACTGTGTGACCTTAGGAAAACATTTGTGGGGCCACCAGCTCCTCATCTTCAAGGTCAGGACACTGATACCTACCCTGGGGTATTGAGGGCTAAGTAGAGATCTGAAGTTAGGCCTTGGCATACAAGAGGGGACCTTGAGTTCCATGTTTTCATGGCAGCTTACTCCATGTTGTCTTATTTTCACTCAACTATAAAACTCAGCAAATATTTACTGAGCCCTCGCCATGTAACTCGCATTTAATGAGAACACTTTCGTCACCTTGCCAGGCAGCTGTGTTGGATGCAAAGGCTCGGGGCTGCCCTTTAGCGAATTCACTCTAGTGCTCGGGAGTCCTCAAGGGTCATGAGATTTTCTCAGGCAGTGTCTGGCCCACTGCAGAATCACTTTTGCACCCAACTTGCAGCAGGGACCCGAGGCTCACCACATCGGCCCAGATCCCGCCCCTGTCCCCCACCCCATCATGCTTGCCACGTGCAAAACCACAGGCCTTGTGGACAGAGAGAGAACTCCTTTCTAATGATCATCTCACACCCTCCCTTCCCCACTCCAACCTTCCAGCAAGGGATGCTTCGAGTAGGCAAAAACTCTTTTAAAACACCACCAGAGTTTGTCCTGACCTGTCAGACTTCTCCTTTTGGTGTCACCACAAGGCCCTTCCACATGATCGTCTTAAACTCCTGAATGTTTAATCCTCTTTCCCAAAATCCAGGAATTCTCTCCTTTGTGAATCAATGCAGCATTAATTCCAAATGATGCTCTTCTGATCCGGGACAGACTTAGATAAAAACCAAATGTAGACAGAGTTTGGGCTCTAGAGTCAGGTAGCAAAGATTCAAATCATGATACTTTTCGTCATTACGCTGTGAGTTTGGGACACTTAGTCTTTGAGTCTCTTTTTTTAACTCTAAAGTGGAGTCGATAATAGAAGTCAGTGAACAAAGGCATTTAGAGAACTGAGCTCAAAATAGGCATTCAATAAATATTTGCTTTCTGCCTCTCCAC